AAGTTTTATAAAGAGTAAAACCAGCTACACCCATTTTTTCACTGAATATTCACGCCTTTTCACATAAAATCTATCCTGAAATCGGTTGTCCAATAGATCGTTGCTGCAGAAATCACGGTAAAACAGCATTTTCAAGCTGTTTATCTTTTGCCTTTTTCATTACTTTTCGCGACGAACATCCATCACCACTTTCCAACGTGACTGCGTTATGGATGTTAAACTTAAAACTTAAAATTTTTTCACTGTTATTTTTAATATCAGTTAACCAAGTATTGTATAAGTAATCTAAGTAATATTACTTACTGTACTTGGTTATAATTTTTTATATTAAGCTTAGGACCGATTCGGATAATTGGCGTTTCGGTTAATCGGCGTTCGGATAATCGGCGTTCTACTGCATTTGAATACTATTTCATATTTATGAAGATTTTCATAATTTCAGTTGGATGAGATTGAGGGGCCAATAATTGTCTGTTTCACCTGTCATGCAAGACTCATTCGTTGCAGAATATTACAACAACAGGCTATTGAGTCCAATGTGGTTCTGGAGCAGTTGCTTTCAGGAGGATCCATGGTATTATCCATTCCATCCATTAAAAACTATAAAAGTCCACTGCTGAACATAGGTCTCACTCATAGATTGCTTCATAGGAGGAATTTTGGCAAATTTGCCACACTTGCCAAGTTGGCAACCGTAGTTTATATTTTTTTTTTATAGGATAAGGGTGACAAACAAGCACACAGTCCACCTGATGGTAAGTGGTTGCTGCGGCCCATAGACATCTACATCTATCCTCGCTTGCGAATCAAAATGCAGATGCGTTGTCACCCGTGAGGACTAAGATGGAATGCCTCATTTCCAGTAAAAAGGGCCTCCGGCCACCTGCACTCACCAAGCGAAACACAGAGGTAAACCTCTACTTCACGCTGGTATTCTGTGAGGTCGTGGTACCACCCCGGTTCGAGCTGGCCCATCCGTGCGACAGCAAAAGTTGCCGCGTGGCTCTACCACTGTTATATTAGTCTAAGTTGTCATCAGGAAGATGCGGCCGCCCTACCTCTGTTTCTGTTTCCTTCTGTTGCCTCTTACGACACCCATCCCGTGGATAGGGATATATGATAGTGCAGGGGTCGGCAACCTGCGGCTCGCGAGCCACATGCGGCTCTTTGGATGTGAAGCTGCGGCTCTTTAGTTTCATACGCAAATATTATTTATTTTATAAAAAAAAATTATAAATCGATCCATACTGAGCCATTTGGGGTTGACACTGGATCTCTAGAAATGCAATTGATCAATTTAAAAAGTAAAGCTTTGTGGAGTTGTAAGTTAACAGAGTTGATAAGGAAGTTGCAAAAGTTGGAGGTCCAGAAATGTATGTAACGCAACAAAAATTAATAGCTTTAAAAGAAAGGCTGCTTGTAGAGTTATATTTGACGCATGGAATAGTCTTCCAGATTGCTATAGTGAGGTGAAGAAGTTGGCATTTGGAGTGCTGACTATCTTCGGATCGACATATTAGTGCGAGCAAGCATTCTCTTTCATGAATATAATTAAAAGTAAAGTAAGAAGCCAATTAACAAATGAAAATTCAGATTCGTGTCTGAAACTTAAACAAGTTATGAGCCAAATTTATCCAAACTTTCTAAAACCATGCAAAGCCAAAACCCCATTGAATTTGTTTGCTCAATTGTTTGTACTTGAAGTATAAGTTAGTGTTGTAAGACTTACAATGTAAATAAATGTTTGTTTTAATTTTTTACTTAAATAATAAGTGATTATCTAATAATACCATATATATAAAAGGTTGCCGACCCTGTGATAGTGGATATTCTTACACCATCACTGCACAATCCACTTTTCTATGCTGCTTCCCATTGCTATATGGGAGAATGTTTCTAGTGCAAAGTTAAGTTTGTCCTTCAATCCAACTTACTTTTGTTAGAGCAATAGTACTTATTTTTACAAAAACAATTATCAAACTGTTTATACTGTTATATATTACCCTATTGTATATAAACAAATCTCAATAAACAAAGATAAATCTTTGTCAATTTACAGCTTTCGTGAATCTGAATCCAAAAGTTGTTGAGACTCGATTCTCGGGATAGATGAACTATGTACATTCTTATTTAAGTTTATGCTGAACCCTCACTTTTGTCCGGTGTTTATTATTCTTTGAAGTTGTTGTCAGGAAGATGCTACCCCCCGATCTCCTGTTTCAGGTTCCCTCTGCCCCTTTTTACGACATCTGCGGGATGGCAGGGGGTAGTATGGGTTCTCCTACTCCACCACTATAGTGGCTTTTTCTCTTATTTGAAAAAATTATTTCCTTTCAGTCAATACCAAAACCGCATAAGGTTAGAGGTGAGATTAAATTCACACCAATGTATCATATAGATATCTGGCCTGTAGAGTGTGATATAGAAAATGATTGCAAGGACGAAATTTTTTGCCTTGATGCCGTTAAAGTTGAGGAAGAGATTTTCGGATATGAGAATTCCAAATTTGAAGAAAATGAGAATCATGAAACAGGTAAGATATACCCCTTTTCTTGATATTATTAAAATAAGGTACAATTTACCTTATGGCAAGTGGTTACTGTAGCCCGTAGACACAAAATAAAGAGGGCTTCATGTGTAATGTACTGATTTACTGATTTGCCTTTGTCTAGATTCAAAGTGCATGTCAAAAGCACTCTTATACATTAAAAAAATATTTTTACCCTGTCAGCTAGTATGTATGTCACAAGATACATACTGGCAAGCAACCAATCATCTTTGCCATCTTCTTAGTGTCAGTACTAGGTGGTGTGACTCCATGTTTGCCTAGGAGTTGGATCTATTTGTGCCTGCCCAGATGGACCCCTCCCTCCTCCTCTTACCTATTTCTGCCGTCAAATAGCAGTGCGTGCACTGCTGTGTTCCATTCTGATGGGTATAGAGTCAGAATAATCACAGGCTGTGGGTCATTCCACTTTAGTTGTGGTAGAGCCATGCTGCAGCTATATTAGTAGCATAGTTATAGCACGAATGGGTCGGCTCGACCGGGGAAGGACCACGCTCTTACAGAATACCAGCGTAAAATAGCAGCTTAACACTGCTGTGTTTCGTATGGTGATTGTAGAGAACCGTATAGCCTTTTTACTGTAAAAGAGGCATGCCATCGTAGTCCTCATGGGTGACAATGCATCTGCATTTTGATTCTTTATTGAGGACAGATGTAGATGTCTATGGGTCACAGCGACCATTTACCATCGTGTGGACTGTGTGCTCGTTTGTCACCCTATCCTATAAAAATTAAAATTAAAAGATGAGCGCATTGCATCATTAAATCTTCATCATTACAGCCTTCACAAGTCCACTGCTGAACATAGGTCTCACCCACGTAATGCCACAAAGCACAGGAATACATTACCTTCCTGCATTTCTTAGCAGGTCATCATTCCATCTAATGGAGGGCCGCCCTACACTTTGTCTACTGGTATGAGGCTGCCACTCGTAAAACTTCCTCATTCATTGTCATTTCTTCGAGCTATATGGCCGGAATTTCAAATTTCAAAGAATTAATTCAGCATTTGAAACCATGGTGTTGAAAGTAACTACAACAGAAGTGAGACGACGCGCCCGTGCTTGTGTTAGTAATCGCATCAATTATTTTGAGCATCAACAAATAAATAATTAGAATTTTTGTTAGTCTGCCTAAAAATTTAAATTTTCTACCTCAATCTGGTTTTAGGGGACAATTGAAAAATTTGTAACAAATGCGTGTAAGTTATACCTCAAATGAAAGAGTAATAACCAAGCATGTTTTCAAAAAGGTTCTAACAATAAATTAAAGTACCATCAGTTTTTTTTAACGTAGTGTCAAAAATGTTTATTGTTTAAAATGTTAATTATGTTTCTTTAAATCGTAGAAAATTTTCGTGAACTTAGTGTCTGTACAAAAATATGTCTGATGACACAGATGCTGAGACTATGTTTTCTTAGATTTCTTATTCATTACTTAAATTAAAAAAAAAAACAGACGTTAATTAAATTGGCAATTATTAGCAATTAACTGTAAAATTTTTAGTTTTATCTCCAAAAACAAAAAGTATAGTCAGACTTTGTCTAAAATAACTATGGCCTAAATGATCTTCTTCAATCAATAAGTAATCATTCTGTATAATGCTTGTCCCGTGTGCGATTCGAAGGATCTATTATTAGATTAATGTAGGTAATTGTAACATGGTGAGAAGAACGTCATCATTATCATTGGAATTTAGTTTCTCTACCATTCTTTCCCTCCAATAATGAATATGAGAGACATTGTTAAAAGTAAAATACTTTATATCTAGCAACATTGTATAATTATGTAATTTTATAATTTATCTATTTCTCCCTGGTTGACTGATAGAGAATGCGTTTAAGGTGTCTTACAATAAAAAGTTTCACTTATAATAAAGTAAATGTTCAATTCGTGTGTATTTCAGAACCATACATCATACCGACAAATCATTTTTCAAGAGCGTCTGAGAGAAAGATTAAATCAAATTCTACTGACTGTAACAAAAACGATGTTCGTAAAGGAAACCCTAAATCAAAGCCTAAAGTCAAAAAAGATAATCAAACAATTAATAAAAAAGGAAAGCATCCTGCAAATATTATGAGAAAGAAAATATTGAAACAAAAGAGTGTAAATATACTTACGAAAAAAACGTCAGGGGCATCAACAAAATACATTTTTGAATGTGATGGTTGTAGCAAAAAATTTTCAACAAAAGACATTCTCGCCAAACACATTTCATACAGTCATATGACGCAAAAGAACCAAAAGAACACCACTGCTGTTCAGACACAAGTTGAACAAACTCCAGTACCACAACTAACGGAAATATTTAACTGTGATATTTGCGAATTTAAAACATCTCAAAAACGTTGCATTTTGGCACATCTTAAAGCACACGTTGCTAAAAAAGTGTACTGTTGTAATAATTGTGATTATAAAAGTGTAAAAAAAGATAGTTTACAGAAACATATGAAAATACATACTGGAGAAAAATCTTTTTCGTGTCATATCTGTAAATATCAATTTATTCACAAAAGTAATTTGTGGTATCATATGAAAATACATACTGGAGAAAAACCTTTTTCATGTAGTATTTGTGAATATAAATGTATTAAAAAAAGTGATTTGCAAAGGCATATGACAACACATACTGGAGAAAAACCGTTTTCATGTAATATCTGTGAATATAAATTTATTACAAAAAGTGATTTGCAAAGGCATATGAAAATACATACTGGAGAAAAACCTTTTTCATGTAATATCTGTGAATATAAATGTATAGAAAAAAGTTATTTGCAAAAGCATATGAGAATACATACTGGAGAAAAACCGTTTTCATGTAATATCTGTGAATATAAATGTATTAGAAAAGATGTGTTGCAAACACATATGAAAATACATACTGGAGATAAACCTTTTTCATGTAATATCTGTAAATATCAATCTATTACAAAAAGTAATTTGCAATCACATATGAAAATACATACTGGAGAAAAACCTTTTTCGTGTCATATCTGTAAATATCAATGTATTCGAAAAAGTAATTTGCAATCACATATGAAAATACATACTGGAGAAAAACCTTTTTCGTGTAATATCTGCAAATATAAATGTATTACAAAAAGTAGTTTGAAAACACATATGAAAACTCACACTTGAGCAGAACCTTTTTCGTGAGCTATCTGGTAAAATATGTGCAATATTATGTAAACGTGTTTTATATAAATATAAAAGTATACTAGACAAAAATCCATTTGTCATGAGTTCCTTATGTAACTGTAGAACGAGTAGAAAAACCTTTCCGTGTCATATGTGCTAATTGAAACTGCATTTATTCTGAAGAAGTTAATTCAAAAACCAAAGAAACAACCAAGTGAAATCGAACCTGGAAATATGTACAGAGTGGTTAGTGGAAACAGACCAGACCTTCATGTTCTTTTTTATTTTATTTAAATTATATTAGTTTGTTTTTATTTATTTGTTTCGACATTTATCGTTACCATTACACCCTATAAAAGTCCGCTGCTGAACATAGGCCTCCCCCACGGATTGACTCATAGGGGGGATATTTGCCATAGTTGGCATGCAGGTGGGTAGGCAACCGCGGTTTTTTATTTTTATTTGTTATTAGGAAGACGCTGCTGCCCATCTCCTGGTTTATTTCCTCCGTCGCCTAGATATAATATATAGATATAGATATAAGAATATCCACTACCCCTTATCATCCCGTGCGTGTCGTAGAGGCGACAGAGAGAAACAAATCAGGAGCTGGGCAGCAGCGTCTTCCTAATAAAATAAAAAAACTGTGTTGCCAACCCACTTGCCAAGCGTGGCAACTATGGCAAATATCCCCCTTGAGGCAATCTGTGGATGAGGCCTATGTTCAGCAGTCGACTTTAACAGGCTCTCTAACAATAACAATAAACGTTGAAACGAAAAAAGAAAAACATTATCCATCATTTAAATAAGAAAAAAACATGGTCTCGTCTGTTTCCACTAACCTCCCATTTGTTTCATATTTGAAAGTTCAATTATTTTTTTTGGTTTTGAATCAGCTTCTTCAGAATAAAAGCAGTTTCAATTAGCACATATGACACGGAAAGGTTTTTCTACTCATTTTATTACTCCGTACAAGATGGCTTTTGTAGTTGAGTTATTAATTCATTTCATATTTACACTGTAAAATGTTCAGACTGAATTCGAAGCGAAACTGAAACATTAAACTCCTGCCGTGGCAGCTAACTATAAATTAAAGTGAAAGACCTTTACATTATTACCTTTTGTTTTTTAATCTTAGGTTTACTTTGATCTTATAGATTACCCTATGTACTAGTGTAGTAATGGATATAGCTTATTTAACATTATAAGTTGTAAGGATTGGTGACCAATTGGTGGATCGGAGACCAATCCTTAAGCTAAGATTGTACACAGTATAATTATCTGTTATTCTGGTAGTCAGAAACTTACTGTATTCACGTAAATTACATACGAGACACAGAAGTGTCCCGCTGCGGATATGCTGCTGACGATTATGACAGCTGTTGCTTAGACATAATTGTAGGTACATAGGATGTGGAAAGTAACGTTAAGTATTTTAAGGTGCATATTTTTATTTTATAAGCTAAATAACTGTCGCAAGTATTAGGACCATTAAAAATAAACTTCATCTTTATAATCATTCAGTACGAATTCATCTGGATTTTGGTTAATTTATGTCAGCTCTCTTTGGTTTTAAAAATTTTAGGTATTTAATTATTTCTTCATACGATTTTATAGAAAGATATTTCGTATTTTTTTCCAGCTGATTATTATTTATTTCCGTTATCAAGCCGACGTAATATTTCCACTTTCTATTTTCATAATATCTAGCCAGTATAGTATCTCCGAGATCATATGCTATAGCTTCTTTTACTCGATTTTGCAATACTTTTTTACAATATTTACTTTTATTTTAATTTTTTTTAAATTTATATCCTGATTAATATTTACTTAATTCCTATATTACGAGAATTATTTTGTTTTAGTCTCAACACCATTTTTTCACATTTCCTATCTTCATCTTTAACGATAATTTTATTATCCAGTCTTTTAGGTCTACTCTCAGTCTGTGGTTGTAAATCGGTCTTTTCTATGACATCTAAACGCATTATGTCAGCAAATATGGTGGCTTCTTATTCGTCTACTCGCTTTCTTATTGTGTCTTCATCTTCATCATCATCAGGAATCGATATTATATTTTCTACAATGTTTATGACTGTCACTATGGAGGCTACTTTTTTGTTTGTTTTGTTGTTCATTCTTCTTTATGAGTTAGTATTTCATTCTTGATTGTCCAAATTATTCACTACCACGGTGGTAACTGTGCGTATATATCCGATTTTTTCATATAAAATTTCTTGTTATGTATTGTCTTCTTCTTTTTTGGTATTTTTCTATTTCAATTTTCTTTAGACCGCCACCCGTCACGCACAGCCCGACACGGCGGAAGGTTGAGGACAGAGTGCAGAGTTGGCACGTGGAATGTTAGAGGAGGCATGAAAGATAAGACGAATGAGTTGATCGAAATAATGAAAGAAAGAGAATTAGATGTCGTGTGTATGTCGGAGACCAAACGGAAGGGCAGTGGTACTGAAGAGCTCCCTGGCGGGGCGTTAGCTCTATGGTCCGGAGTCCCGGAGAGCGAGAGCGCCTGCCAGGGAGTGGGGGTGCTGCTGTCTTCTCGGTTGGTCGATGTTATGACTGAATATAAGTTTGTGAACTCAAGACTTCTCTGGGTTCGCTTTAAATTGGGACTAACGAAGTTATTCCTTTTGGCTGTTTATGCGCCGGTAGCTTCGTCGTCCAGGGCTGAGCTGGAGGAGTTTTGGGAGAATGTAAGAGAAGTTCTAGATTTGGCTAGAGGAAACGAAAGAATTGTTGTATGTGGTGATTTGAATGGATGGGTTGGTACCGCTCGACCAGGGTACGAGTCGGTACTTGGAAAGTTTGGCGATAAAAGGGTTAATGATGCTGGCAAGCTTATACTGGCGGTGTGCAAGGAAAAGGGTCTTCTTGTGACAAACACTATGTTTAATCACAAGAAAATCCATATGTATACTAGAGAACGAAAGAATGAGAGAAGTATGATTGATTTGTTCCTGGTGGATGACCGACTGCGAAAACAGGTGATGGATACGCGAGTGTTCAGGGGTGCTGACCTGGGAACGGATCACTATCTAGTGATTACTAGATGTACGGGTCTGTTCGCGGGTTGGCGCTACCGGACGGCAGTAACAGAACCACAGTCGGTCTGTCGCATCCGAAGCTGGAAGCTTCAGGAAGCGGATACTAGGGACAAATATCATGCGAGGGTAGCCGAAAAGCTTGACACCATCGATGGCAGAAAAGAATGTGTAGAAAGAACTTGGCAGAACCTTAGGGATGGAATGGTAAGTGCAGCGGAAGAAGTGTGTGGAACAATAAAAAGAGGCAGTAGTAAAAGAAGAGATGCATGGTGGAATGATGAAGTGAAAGAAGCTGTAAAAAAGAAGAAGAAAGCATGGTTAGACTACTTGGCCTCTAGTAATGATAAGGATATGAGAGAGAAGATGAAAGAAAGATATAGGCTGCAGAAAGTTCACACGAAAGCACTGATTGAGGAAGTGCGTGAAAGGTGTAGAAAGGAAGCGGACGAAAGGTTGTCGCACAACTTTAAGGAGAACTCCAAACTCTTCTGGAAAGAGGTTGGAAGGACCCGAAGTGGTGCGACGGCCTTAAGAATGAACAAAGTGCTTTCGAGAACTAATGACGTCCTCTCAGAAAAATCGGACGTCATGCAGCGATGGAGCGAATTTTATAGAGAAATGTATGCGTGTGATGACCTTAGTGAGGGATCCGGGGATGACGCCGTGACTGGTACGCCAGACCCGGACCTCGATGACACTGAGGTCATCAGTATGAAAGAGATTGAACGTGCGATTCGAAGTTTGAAATGTGGTAAGGCTGCGGGACTAGACAGAGTTACTGCTGAAATGGTCAAGTATGGTGGGCCTCGCGTCTGGGACAGCTTTCATCTGCTGTGCAATTTGTGCTGGCGGACGGGGGATGTCCCGGATGATTGGCGATCCGCAGTCATTGTGCCTTTATATAAAGGTAAAGGTTCACATTTTGACTGCGGGTGCTATCGGGCGATCAGCTTGACCAGTTTAGCAAGTAAAGTTTACTCGAAGGTTTTGACACGTAGGATGCAAGAGAAATCGGAATGATTTCTATGGGAGGCACAATGCGGATTTAGACCTGGAAGAGGATGCACGGATCAAATGTTTTCTCTCCGCATGATCACGGAAAAGCTTCTGGCTGCTAACCAGAAGATTTTCTGTGCTTTTGTGGATCTTGAGAAAGCATTTGATAAGGTTGTAAGGAAGAAAATGTGGGAACTGTTGCCGGGGTATGGTGTGGATGGTCGATTGCTAAGGGCTGTGCAGTCTCTTTACTGTGACTGTAAAGCCTGTGTGCGGGTAGGACATGACCTGTCACCCATGTTTAACGTCCAAACGGGCGTAAAGCAGGGTTGTGTCATGTCTTCCTGGCTGTTCATACTGTATCTCGACAGCTGTTTACAGAAGCTGAAAGATAGCTGTTTGGGTGTGAAATTGGGTGACATTAAAGTAAATTGTCTGTTGTATGCTGATGATGCAGTGCTTATAGCACCATCAGAGGCAGAACTGCAGGCATTAGTCACGTGTATGAAAGAGGAATGTGAAACTAAAGGTCTCCGTTTGAATGCTAATAAAACTAAGGTTCTGGTATTTGAAAGGGACGAAGAGAGAACGAAGTGTGAAATATGGGTAAATCAGGAATGTCTAGAACAGGTAAATGAAATTGTATACTTGGGGAGTGCTTTTAGCCGGGATGGAAGATGTGATTTAGATGTGGACAGGCGTGTCGCTGCCGGGAACAAAGTCAATGGTGCCCTGACTGCGTTAGTCAAAAGGCAAGGCGTAGCGAAGAGTGCACGCCTTGCAATACATAACGCAGTGTTGGTACCGACTTTGTTATATGGCAGCGAAACCAGGGTATGCCAGAAGAAGCATAAAAGTAAGTTGAATGCAGTGGAGATGCGATCTCTTCGTAAAATGTGCGGCGTTACCATGGCCGACCGAAAGCGAAACGAAGAGATT